ACCTGGGAAAGGCCGCAGGGAGACCCATTGTTCTGTTATCACATTCCTGCAAAATAGCTGGAAATGGGGTCTGGGATGGGGCCGTGCCAGGGGGCGGGGGGGGGCAGCGAGGGTGCCTCGGGGCCCTGGCCAGAGAGCAGGGGAGGCAGGGGCCAGGGCCCACACCATCCACCTGTGGTCGCTTGCGGGGGCAGCCCGCCACCCCCTTGGACAAAATGGGGTTTAAGGACCCCCCAGCCCACAACCCACTACCTGGGCCCCGGGCAGTAAATCTGGGACAGCGGGCGGGAAGGACCTGTGCTCACATTAGGCTGTGCATTACTAGCCTGGTGCTTTGGGCAGATGGCCCTCTCCATTCCTTTATTATAAATGGGGGCAACAAGGTCCGACTTACTAGGCTGTGGGTGGGTTAGAGCTAAACCAAGAAGCTACACGACACAAGGGAGGCTGGATGGACACAGCCACACACCGACTCCGTGGCCTCTGGGCGCAGGTTCTGGGGGGAGCCTTAGGGCTCACTGGCTAAGGGACGCCGAGGCCAAGCCGCCTGTGGCAAGGCTTCCTCGCTGCGTGTCCCCAGAGAGCGTGATTACTCTAAAGGCTGGGCCGCCTTAGTCAGCCTCGTCTCTCCAGGAGCCGGTGAGCCAGCGCCAGGTGGGGCTGCATCGCCCATCTCTGTCACGTCGCACCCCCACCGTGGGCTCAGTGTCCACGCGGCTGCAACAGGCGGGCGAGGATGACAACACAGAACCGGCAGGGAGTGAGCGCGATGCGAATCCTGCGGTAGCAACAAGCCCTGTTCCCAGGACAAAGCTCTGTAGTCAAGAAAGGGATTCCACGCCCCATTTGCAGGAACCTCCAGGAACACAGGAGCTGCGAGCTGGCAGCTGATGGCAGCTGACGTTCGAGCTGGGAGGCTGGTGGGGGAGACCTGAGTCATCGGCCAACGAACAAGTCGGCTGAGGCCACCGGCAGATTCGGCCCCAGGACCAGACTCCGGGACTCAGTTTCCTCACCTAAAAAAGTAGGCATGTGGTGCCTGGGGCCCCTCCTGGCTGTCACATTCACGGTTTGGCTTCCCAGCCCTGCTGTCCACTAGCCGCACGCCCGCTGCCCGCAGGGCCCTGGCTCCGCTGCCCGGTCCCCAGGTCCCCCCACCGCTCTCGTTGCCTCCGTCTCTCAACTAGTTCTCTTCCTTTTGAAGGTGCCTAATTTCCAGAAAAGCAGAAGGAAGCCTAAACTTTCATCTCAAACAAATATCTCCAAAGCTTCAGGGACACAAAATAAACACTGCCTGCTGTGTTTACAGGGGGAGAGCAGGGCAGGGCAGGGGGCCGGGAGGGGGGACATCCCTGGGGACCTTGACCAGGGGTCTGAGGCTGCTGCTGTGTACAAGGGAGGCAGGGGCGTCCAGCCATCCGTCACCACTTGGAAGTCACCAAGAGGGTTTTCCTCGTCCCTGCTGTCACTCCCACAGGGCAGACTGCATGGAGAATTCCTGTCCTTTTCAGGCCAGGAATGGGCCAGTCTCCCCCTTGGCCCAGTGATCATGTCAGGGCCCTCAAAGGCAGCCGGTGCTTCCGGATCCCATGGGCCTATGGCCATCGGGACAGCCTGGCTTCCGGATCCCGTGCAGCCAGAGCTCTCGTGAGAAGGCAGTGGACACATCCTCCTCTCCTCCTGCCCCTCGCCCCCCCCACCACCACTGGAGCTACTCAGGAACTGGGCGGGGGGAGGGGAGAGGGGAGTTTCCTTGAAGGGATGCTGCACCATTTCGAGTCAACTTTTACAGAGGCAAACGCCTTCTGGTGGGTTCGCGGACACAGGCATAAGAGTTCCTATACTTTTCCCAGGATGCTGACAGTCCAGAACCACAGTCCAGGACTGCCCATCACCCCCAGAGTCTGGGGCTCTGGCCTAGTGGTTAAAGGAGAAGGTCACAACTAAAAGGCCTGTGCTTACCGCTTGTGAGCTGCATGGCCTTGGGCCAGTGACGCCACTCTCCGCGCCTCAGTTTTTTCATCTGTCAGATGGGTGTAATAATAACACCTACTTCCCCCCAATGGAAAGATGCACAAAAATCACCTAGAAAAGTACCTATTTTGTAGTGAACGCTCAGTAACAATGTCGCTGTTGTTATTTTCACACTAGGAGACTCGATTCTTTGTTCCAGCTTCCCCGATGACCATACCAGCTTCAAAACAGGTACTCTCCCAGGGGCGACATTATAATTAACTACAGAGTGGGGGACTTAAAAAAGGGGGTGGCCACAGGAAAGAAATGGGAGAGAGAACCAGGGTCACTCTGGGTCAGCAGAAAGATGCTGCCCTGGGTGCCGTGACAACAGATGGGCAGGGACTGGCAACAGGTCGCAGAGATATGGAGCCCTTGTGGTGCTAAGCCTGGGTGGCTCCCCTCCATGTCCCTGGCCCTGGGAGGGGCCCAGCCAGGGCTGTGGATGAATGGTCGAGACGCAGGGTGAAGGGAAAGCATTGTGGGCCACAGTCACAACGTCAGCTCCCCACCTGCAGCTGCCCCCACTCCGGGCTGCGTGTCCTGGAGTGACATATATGCAGTTGCTGGGTGTCACTTCCCTCATCTGTGGAATGGGGAGACTCCAGCCAGGCCTCCCATGTCTTCCATGTCTTCCTCACTCCACCCCAGCCGCCCTGGCTCTGAACCGATCCTCCCACACAGCAGGCACATGCCAGCCTCGCGGCCTTGGCACAGGTTCTTCTCAGCAAGACCTTCACTTCCCAAAGATATCCCCACAGCTCACTCCCTCAAAGCCTTACCTCAAAAAGTCACCTCCTCAGGGAGGCCTCCCTGACCACCCTATTTAAAATGGCAATCCCACCCCTGGCCTCAACACTCAACTTTTCCTCCTTACCTCCCAATACACTATATCATTTGCTTATTGATTTAATTAGGTATTTGCCCCTCCCCCCTAAGTGTCAGCTCCATGAGGACAAAAATCTTCACTTTGTTCCCAGCTGTCTCCCAGCGTGTGGCACAGTGCTCATTGAATCATTTTTGGTGTGCAACTCACATTTTGTTCAATGAGTGAAAGTAAAGAACCATCCAGGGATGTGTGGAATATAATTGCACTTCCCTTCCTACACCTACATGCACACCCCCCAGAGGGGTAGACTGGTTCTCGAACAGAGGATGTGGGGGTAGCTAAGATCTCGAGGGGAGGGGAGGCAGAGGAACATGGGCTTGGAGAAGCTTGAGAGCAGAGCCCTGCAGAGAACACCCTTAAGCAGTGGACCCCAGCAGGTGTTGACAGCCAGATACCGTTAACGGCTTTGGGCCTCAGCTCTCTGCTCCAAATTTGGAAGGACGATTATGCTGATAGCATGTGGTCCGAAAAGGAGAGGCCAGGGCAGCTGGCTTCCAGGATACTGGGGACAGACGGTACCTCAGGGACCAGACCACCCATTTTTCAGATGGGATCACAGAGGCCTGGAGAATACGCAGTACCTTATTTCCTAACAACCCAACAAGAAAAAGCTTTCCTCCTTGTCTGTGTGGAGCTTCGGCTAAGGTGTCAACAGTGCCCCCTCCTGTCTCTCCAATAGCAGCTCCCACCTCCAGTGTCCCTGGGATTTGAAGGCTGCAGGATCAGAGGGTTGTGGCCCTCTCTCCACAGGCCACCGGGGGCGGGAGGTCCAAGGGGCCGCACAGTTGGGGTGGGCATCCCTGGGACCTTCCTCTCGCTGGACCGAACCACCAGGAAAAGTTTGAAGGAAATCAACCAGGAAGTGCGGGACGGCGAGGCGGCCTTGGCTTTGGAGAAACCTCGAGGTATTCGGCCTCTGCCCCCTTCTTGCCCCCGCCCCGAAGGCTCCCGCGGAGAAATCCACTAGCCAGGGGCGGCAAGGAGGCGGCGGGAGCCCGGCACTGGTTGGGGACGTGGAGAGCGCCGGACCCTGCTGAGAGCCCCGGGGATGGGCGCGGCGTTCTGGCGGTTTCTCTACTGACCCCCAGGGTGGGTGCGAGTATTTTGCCAACGGCCGGAGACCCAGCCCACCCTGCGCCAAGCCAATGGCCCCACACTGCCCCCTTCCTGCAAAGCGCGCGACTTAGGGGAGAGTGGAGGCGTCCGTCTCCACCTGTGCCCTACCCCGCCCCCAATAACTGGGGCTTAACGGGGGAGGGAGGGTCCGTTTCTGCCAGCTCACCCCCACCCCTAGCCTTGAGACTGGGGTCTTTCCAGCCTTGCTCCTCCTCCCTCCTATGTGTCCTTTATCTCCCAGCTCCCGTCACTCACCCACTTTCTAAGACTCCAAGCAGGGAGCTCCGGGCTGTTGGGTGCCCCCGGGTCCTCTGTCCCAGTACCCCCACCCCCAGGACCCACTGAACCAGAAGGTCGCGCCAGACTTGTGGGCAGCAAGAGCTCTGCCACCTCCTTCCGCGGCCCTGCGGGGGTGAAGAGGAAAGGACAGGGGACTCGCAAGTTTTTGCCGCGCACTCCCAGGACTCGGGAACAATGGCAGGGGTGGGGATCGAGGGCACGGATGGAGGGGGAGGGGACAGAGAACTGAGCGCCGGGTCAGAGTCAGACCCTAGCGAGAGAAAAACTGCTTTTCGTTCCCTTTCTCTCTTGCTCGGAAGCAGAGAGCGCGAGCCCGGGAGGGGGAGGCCGAGGGCGAAATAAACAGCCCGAGAGGGAGAAGACGGCGGAGAGACAAAGCCGGGGAGAGGGAAACCGAGTCAAAGGAGGGCAGCGAGCCGAGAGCGCAAAGAAGAGAAGGAACAGAGGGGTTGCCGAATGGCGCCTTGGAGAGCCAGGGGGGAGATCCCTGGGGCCCCCTGCTGAATCCGCTGGAGCTAAAAGGTTCTGGGGCGTCCGGCTCGCGCGCAAAGGGTCCTTACTATCCCCAGCGGTCCATGCCTCAGCAGGAGCACGGCTGAGCTGCGCTGCGCAGGCACCGGCCGGCTGGCGGCGGGAGGGGAAAGTGCGAGGCTCCGAAGCGGTGGTGGGGAGCAGAACTTACGTTCCTAGCGCATGCTGGCGCTGGCTGCGCGGAGCTGGCGTGCACGGGGACCTCGGGACCTCGGGCGCTCACATCACGCCTACCGCGCCGAGCAGGGCAGGGTAGGGCAGGGACGGGCTGGACTGCGCGCGGCACCCTGCGCGGCTGGGGTTTGCCCGAGTCTAGCGGCCCGCGCTGGTCCCTCCTCTCGGTGCCGCGCTGAAGCCAATGGCGCGCCGTCCCCTCCCACGCTCCGGGCTGCCTCGCCCCCAGGGTGGCCGCCGGGGCGGGAGGGAGAGAGGGGTTGTGGGGGACTGGGCTCCGGGCTCCCCAGCTGAGGCTTTCCTGAAAACCGCCGGCGGGGGGCGCGCTCATGCCCTGAGAGAAGGCGTTTGGGGATCAAAATCGAGGGCCCCTGCCGCCCAAGATGACTTTCTTGGCAAGTTCTGAAGATTGTGCCTCTTTTGTGAGACTATCAACACCCCCATAAGTTGGCAAACCACACTGTCTTAAATACCGGGTATTCCCTGGAGCCTAGGCTAGCATCTAAAATGGAAGGGACTGCTTGGCTGGTAGATATTCGAGTGTGTAGTAACACAGTTAAAATGGTCACTGCTGAGAGCCGAACAGTGCCAGGCACCTGTGCTCAAGGAGTTACAAGTATTAATTCATTAATTCTCACAACCACCTATGAGGTCAGGATGATCAACCCCATTTTACAGATGGCTGTCATTAATGTTTGATTTCATTTAACCTTCTGGCTTCCTGCCTAGGTCCACCCTTCTCTTTCCCTGCTTGAGGTGACTTTACCAAATAATATGACACCACACCCATGCACCTTCATCTGCCGCCTGGCCTTAGCTATACTGCTGTAAACTGCACTGTTGGGGACTGGGAACTATCTGGGCTCCTTTTCTGTGGCGGGGGTGGGGGGCGGGGGGTAGGATGCACAGTTGTCAAACTGTAGGGACAGGGTGGGGACCAGTAAGAATGGGTCTGAGGGTCCTCGAAGCTCTCGGGGAGCCTTTGAGCCTGAAGAACCAGGTTCCTGTAAACAACACCCCTCCTCCCAGATTCTGGACTCATTTCAACCTCCTGTGACCAGTAATAGGCTCAACTCAACTCCCAACACCCTGCACCCTCCTTCTTAGAAAACACCTGCATCTCTTCATCTTGTCTGGTGGTCACAAATGGGAGTAGGAGGTAGGGGGAAGAGGAAGGCAAGGTTGATGGCCTGCTCCATGTCACAAGACAAGTAAATGGGACAGAGAGAGGTGCCCCAGGCGTCCAGTAGGTGGGCATTTTGACTCCAGATCTGAGTTCTTTCTGCACTAGTTCCTTAAAGATTAATCCAGCAGTTCCGGAACCAGACTGCTAGGTTCAAATCCAGGCCTAGCCTTGGTGACTGGGTGGCCTTTGAGCCACACGGATAGGAGCAGATGACACAGCTCACAATAACAGACAAAGTGCTTGGGGGGCCAGAGTCGAAGGAAGACATTATTCATTGCCATCACCACCCCCAGCATCCACTTTCCCTAAAAGCGCCCATTAGAAGCTCGTGTTCTCTTCCTTCCTACACTTTTCTAAAGTGATGTGCATCTAGTTCAGGAACTCCTTAGGCTGCCTGCCATTCTGCCCTTAACTTTTCTGAGTTACCCCATCTTTACATTGAGCATTAAGAAATACTCCTTGCTGGGCTATTGTGTGGATTAAAACTGGCATTCCTTCAGTACGCCCCAGATCTAAGCAAGAATAGGATCATGGTGCACAGTAATGATGAGCTGTCGTCGTTATTTATGAAGCGGGAGAAAGAGCATGAACGGAGAGGGTGTGAGAAGGAGGTTAGGACCCTGGCTCTGCTCCTAACTGGCTATGGGACCCTCTGCAGCAGCTGCAACATAAAACACAAAAACACCTGCCTCTCAGATCCTGGGAGAATCAAGTGAGGCCGATTAGACGATAAAGGTTTGTAACCTGGAAAGGCTGATTCTGTTATTATCATTATTATTGTGATTCTCATTATTGTGAAATGCTTCCCTCAAAGGGGCACAGAAGGAGGACGGAGCAGAAAGGTCCGTTGGGGGAGGGTCGCTTCCCTCCATTCTCCACAAGAGCAGGGAGCAGCTGGGCTTCCATCTGCCCTGTAAGGGCGGCCACACCTTTGTGCCCAAGTGTGAGTGGGTGTGCCTGTGCAGGTGGCTGCTGGAAGATGGCAGGGGCACAAGGAATGTCAGTGTCTGTGGCCAGAGATCATTTATGTGGACTGTGAGTTCCCCCCAGGAAGAATATAAATGCCATTGGATTTCTAAGATGCTGGCAGTGGGCCTAGTTTTGGCACCTGGGAGGGGGGAGGAGAGAGGCTGGGGAGGGGGCTGGGCCTGGTCTTAGGGTTAGGGCCCCGGGGATAGGTCTCAGCAGCAGTTCCTTCCATGGGGGTGGGGGGCACAAACCAGAAGAGGATTTTGTCAGCTGCCCTTGCAGTTGGAGCTGCTGGACCTGGGTTCATATCCTAGTTAGAGGACGACAGGCCGGCGCTTTCATTTCTCAGAGCCTCAGTTTCCTGGGGGTATTAGCAGGGCCTAACTCCTGGAGCTTATTGGGAGTTTAACCAAATGAATGCATGCACACCAGGGAACAGACACATAGTGAATTATTGCTGCTGATATTATTAACAGGCAGCCCAGAAGGAGGAAGGGAGGGGCCTCAGCAGGTACTCGTGCTTTGGAAACTGTAAAAGTTAGCTCTGGGGTTGTCAGGCTGAGATAGCCAAAGCGGCCACAGGGAGCCACGTTTGGGTCCTGGACAAAAGGGCCACTGTCCCAGGGAGTAAGGCAAAGGGGCTGGGTTTTCATCACTCCTGCCCATTCCCCTTCCTGGTGCCCCTCACTTCCTGTAGATCTTCCTTCCCTGGCAGCCGGGTGGTCAGACCGCTGGGGCTGTCCTCTCCACCTGGTGGTCCCAGGCTGAGTAAAGCTTTGGGGACTGGGAGAAGCAGCTGGGAGCTCAGGAACCCTGAGGCAACCTCCTCCCCTCCACCCCACTGCCCCCAGGCTCCTCACTCCTGTGGATGGTTCTCGCGTTGCTGCTGTGGCTACTCCAGGACCCTGGAATGTCAAACACCTCCTCACCTAGGGCAGAGACACCAGGATGGGCTGGAAACCATGAGGTTCAGCCTTTCCCAGAGGAAGGATGTGAGGGCTTAGAGCCAGAGGACCTCAGGGAGCCCTGTTCTGCATCCAATGGGGCCAAGCTCAAGTGGGCAGGTAAGAGCAGGACTTGGGAGTGAGGCCATCAGGGAGTGAGGGTCAAAGTGCTAGTCCTCCCTAACTAGCTCTGTGATCTTAGGCATGTTTCTCAGCCTCTCTGAGCCTCAGTTTCTTCATCTGTCAAATAGGAAGAGGGAAATTGGGTACTGGGAAGATAGTACATGTAAAGTCGTGCTTACATATAAGTCCTGAGCTCAGGGCCTGGCTCACAGTAAGGGCTCAACAAATATTCACTGACTCAATGAACGAACATGTGGAAGTGGTAGTGAGGGGGGGTGGAGGGGGTGATGTGGGTTCTGCAGGAAAGCCATCCCCCACCAGCTGGGGGTGGAGAGCGCTCGTCTGAGGACCTTGTCTCCTAGGCCCTGGACATCCATGGCTCTGAGCTGGTGTGAAGGGGGCAGCTTCCAAAACTTGGGACAGGATGGAGTATGGATTATTCCTTGCGGGCACAGTGGACACTTCAGCAAGCCAAACAAGAGCTTCGGGCTCTGTCTAGATTAAGAGTGCTGCACGTCAGATGTGCCAACAGATTCTAATTCATAAAATCACTTTGGAGCAGTGGTTCTCAAAGTGTGCTTGCAGGGCATGTGTTAGAAACTCAAAATCTCAGTCTCACTTCAGACCGCAGGATAGGAAACTCCCGGGGGAGGGAGTAGCTGGAGCAGCAGTCTGCATTTCCCCACACCCTCCAGGAGATTCTTATAGGAGCTCAAGTCTGAGAACCCTTGCTTTAGAGTTTGCAAAGTAGATTCCTAGTTGTAAACGGACACTTAAGTCTTATTCAGGCCGTCCTGCAGTTAAGGGTAATGAGGGTCGCTTTGCCAGACGGCATCATGGAAGTGGAAGCGATGCGTCCGGGACCCACAGCTTTGGGTTCTGGAGTATTTTTGTTTGCGATCTTAAGATCAGACTGCTGACTGTGGTGGGGGAGGGGAGGGCTCTGAGCTGAAGGGCCGTGGAGGGGGAGGGGCAGGCTCCCACCCGGGAGAGGCGGCTGGCGTGTTTGTTTATTATTCCCTCAGAGGTGCCCCAACCCTAATCTACATAAGCAAAGCCCAGCTTGGCACCTTTGAGTGATCGGTTTATTAATACTCGCGGGCCGCTGCCGAGGCGGATTGCAATAACAAAGGCGGCTACGCCGCCACGCACGGAGGAATCATTATGTAATTGCTCCGAGGAGGCGCGGAGGGCCCAGGCGCCAGAAGTCCTGAGCGCACTTGGCCGCGCGCTCGTGGCGGGCTAGGGAGGCGGGCAGGCTGCCCTTCTGGGCGCTGGGGCTCCGGGCGCGGCGGCGGGTGGAAGGAGCCCCTGCCCAGGAATCCTCACCTCTTTCAGAGCCCCGCGCCCTCCTCCCACGCCCAGGAGCAAAGAGGCCGCCAGAGGCCCAGCGAGGGCTTCCGCTCCCCTACTCACCACCTCCCCTCCTTGCCCCACCCTCACTCTGATTTGGGGGAGAGTGAAAGAAAAGCACAACACTTTGGGCAACTTCCGGGGGCAAGGCAAGTGGCTTGCATATCAAACTCAGGGCAACCTCTGTGAATCTGAGGCCCGGAAAGGGCTGGGTTCCTACACTAAGAATTCCAGTCCTTCCCGAGCCCGGGATTTTTACCTCATTCTCCCCAAGCAGTCTTCCCAACCACCATGGGTTAGCTGTTGACTCAGTTTCCCCGTAGGGGGTCCGGGTGACAGGATGGAAAGTACTGTGTGCGTTAGGGGCGCAGGCAGCACTGCAGCTGGGACACAGGTGTGCCCTGAGCAGATGGTGTCAAGGACACAGCCGTGGCTGTTTGTGTTGGGGTGGGGGGAGGGGAGGTGCCAGCACACCAGGCCCTGCCCCCACACACCCCACCTGCCCCCACTCAGTCCCCAGTGCCCAGGGGGGCCCTGGGCCGGAGCGCCCTTCTCCCAGCCACCAGGCGGGCTCATC